TGGTGCAGTTTTGCGTACGTGTAAACACTGCATAAACCCAACGTCGTAATTTTAAAAAGAAAAGTACTTTCCAGCTTATAATTTTAATTAAGAGTTATTCTCCTTACACTGAGAGAAACAACTTGAAAAAACGAAAATACAATAGAACTATATAATGCTCAAGAGCCACTCAATGATGCGTGCTACTGAATGAGGTTGTTGTTAGTTCTTAAAATTAGGAAGTAAGAAATACTGATGATGACAGATGACCGATAACGATTAACCCTAAAAATGAATATATATATATATATATATATATATATATATATATACTAATAGTAATACTCGTTTGGAAAAAAAACTCAGATAGCTCAACTTGCAGATATGTCAAAAGAATTCCGTACCTGAGGAAAAATTGAAGATAAAAAAAAGAAAGAATTAAAAACATCAGAGCAGGGCGAATTAAATCGTCAAGTACCTTAAGTCTTCAGTCCAAAGAAAAAAAAACCCAAGCGAATAGTAAGACTAAAACATAGAGTGCTCAATACGCTAAGTAGAGCGGGAATAACTAAAATAAATCCTTTAGCTGAAACCTAGGTAGGTTTTCCTGGCTCTTTAGAATTTATTTTATATATATATATATATATATATATATATATATATATATATATATCAGCTATGTGCCATGCGTGATACAAGCTTAGCTGATCATGTATCTGTCGATACATGACTGACGAGCCAGATTTTTCCTCGCGGTAGTTAGTCATTTCATTCTGCGGTAGACCAGTTGCCATCCAAGGCTATAGAACCTGTTCTGTCCTGCTATTTACCCATAGCTGGGGGAGAAGGAGATGATTCATACCTTTCCTAATGGCATTAGCACGTAAGTGAATGTGATATTTATAATTAATTGATATATCCCTTTTTTTCAATATTACATGGTAGTATTACATAAAGGGGTTAATTCATGTGATAATTAATAATAACGTAATAGTTTTATATTAAAATGTTTATGTTTATTAATTAACATGAAAAAATTATAAGTCTCTCGGATTTCCTACATTTTTCAACCAATTTCAACAAAACTTCACAGGACTACGTAAAATTACCTTGCTGCCAAAAATTGGAAAAACACAATTGTTTTTGCACGAAATCAATTTGAAAACACGATTAAGAGGCATTAATGAAAGGGGGACAACTCATATCGAGTTATACTTATTAATATCGAGTTATCGAGTTATACTTATAAAACCCAGGTTGGTTGGTTGGTTGTGTGTGTGTGTGTGTGTGTGTGTGAGTTCATTTATGTATGTGATCGGATTTCCTTCATTTTTCGACCGATTTTAACAAAACTACACTTTTTTTTGGCAGGTAGTGTTTCTTATTGTCTTGCACACTTTTTTCTTTATTTTTACATTCAAAATGCTTTAAAAATTCCATTTACAAGACAATTGTTTATAATAAAATTCTATTCAATCGGTAGACTCATAACGATTGAAAACAATGTTTTTGTTTGAGTTTGGGTTTGACCAATTCGTAAAAAAAAAAAAAATTAAAAATAATAAAACTAATTAAGACATGCGTGTCCGTCAACTTTAAACAATAATCTTTGTCAATTTTATTTTTCAGTCTTTATGATGGTCGATACTTGATCTATCTCTTACTGTTACATCCCCGGGCAACGCCGGGGTCTCTTGCTAGTAGATGATAAAATGAAATAAAGAACGAAGTAGAAAACAAATCTAACATGTTTCAACTTTGTTAAGCCTTCGTCAGAGACAGTTACAGGAATGTTATGATTTTTTGTAGTTCTCATTGCTCAAACATGCGTCACGTGTATAAACGCAATAGAAATTATATATAAATATGTGTGAGGAACATTTAGGATGTTAAAGTGTGTGATAGTGTAATAGTGTGTAAGTAAAGAAATGCTTGTGTGTGTAGGTGTATGTAAAACGCTAACGTTTATTCATGTTAGTGTATAAGTGCGTATATGAGGGAAGCCTATAGATGTCACAATCGTATTTTATCGGTGAAATATAGCGATATGTTGCAAAATAATTTTGTATTTGTTTGGATTTTTATATATTCATGCATGTGTATGTATCTGTGGGAACGTCTGTGGTCGTGAACTCTGTGTGGGTTTGTGAACCGAAGTAAGATATTGTAATAATCTAGTTTCGCGGAATTTTTAAAAAAGGGAAATTTGTAAAATCCTCATTATTTTAGATATAAGTTAGATTTATTAAAGATGTCGATTTGATGTAATGTTTTAAGCGAGTGTTTATAGTTGATAGTAATGCTATGAATATCTTCAAAATATTTTCTCCTAATTAACAAAGTACATGAGACCTGGGATCGAATCTCACCATGGTCGATTTGTCTGGACGGAGATTTCTTGATGTGGCTGTGGGCTAACACAGTCACAAGTCATCGTGGGCGAGGACTTGAGCGTGCTGGCTCTTGTTCAAATTGTTGATCACGCCAGATAACACGCTCTTTCCCAGAAACTGTAACTAAAGTTTGCTCAGCACAGTTGCAGTATAAACCACATGTGGGCTCTGTGGTTTTTGAATAAACACAAATGCGCCTGAGCGAGCGTCTGCAATAGGGATTGGGTAGCCACCCTAGTAGACGGGTATCCTCGAATACGAATGGCCAGCCATACTAATATATATATAATCAAATTGATAAATATTGGTAAATGTACGAACAAGCGTTCGTATATAAATACACACACACACACATATATATATATATATATATATATATATGTATATATATAGATAAATATTTTGAACAATAGGAAAATAAAAAATTAAAATCTTTAGACACACTGGGTTGTAGATTAATATTCTTTCGTTTTTTTTATTATTATTCCATTTAGATTCCTCGACTAGTTTCGACCGAAATGGCCATCATCGGGAGGAGAAATATTTCTGCTTGCTGGTAGCAGTGAACTACAGAAATGAATGTCTTGATGGAGAAAATGAACTTTTGTCTGTAGTTTTCATTTGTTTTTTTATTTATTTTTTTATCTTATCTCATATATATATATATATATATATATATATATATATATATATTATTGTTATTAGTAGTAATCCTATAGGTATAAGAAACTGCACTCGTTCGGAAAACCTTCGGTGTCTTGATTTACAAATAATCAAACCAATACCAAAGGGGAAAAAGGTATTAAAAAAAAAAGAAAGAACCAAGGACATGTACGTTAGCCGAAAATAATCGTCTAGCATGCTAGTTCAAAGCCCAAAGAAGAAGAAAAAACGATACGAGTAGGCAAAACAACTAAATAAAGTGCTCGATACGGTAAGTAGAGCAGACCTAGCTAAACCTAGAGAGCCAGACAAAGCTACCAAGGTTTCACCTAAGCGGATCGTCAAACGTTGGTAGGTTTGTCTGGCTCTCTAGGTGTAGATATATATATATATATATATATATATATATATATATATATATATATATATATGTGTGTGTGTGTGTGTGTGTGTGTAGAGTAAGAAAACAGTGCTCAATGCTGAATAACAGAGCTATTCAATATATTCAAGAACATACATAATACCCTACATTGCTTGCACAACTCGCAATCGGTAGGTGCGAATCTTTTTGGTTAACACCCGTTTTTAATATTTCCAGTTATCGCGAGATATTTTATTGTTAGGATTGATTATAATTGCTGTTAATTATTTATATGGATTGTAGTTTAATTCTGAATTATACATATACATATATTATAAGACATTTTTTATGTTTATACGTTCTTTTTATATATATTTCTCTAAATATATTATCTCTCTCTCTCTCTCTCTCTATATATATATATATATATATATATATATATATATGTGTGTGTGTGTGTGTGTGTGTCTGTTTGCATGTATGTGTTTGTGTGTGTACCTGTCTCTGTGTGTATGTATCTGTATGTAGAAGGATGTTGAGAATAGCATGGGCCGAACATGTGAGCAACGACGAAGTTCTAGAGAAAATGGCAATAAAAAAGGACACATAGTTAACATCGGGAGGAGATAGTTGACATTTCTAGGGCACATAATGAGGAAAATGTCTTGGAAAATTTTATGCCCACCGATCAAATTGAAAACAAGAGAGAAAGAGGAAAACAACGAATAACGTATCTGGCGAACGTGAGTTGATGTTTTGCGGAGCAAGGTTTGGGATAGATAGCAAAAAGACGACATTTAATAAGAGCTAAAATGAAAGGACGCGGTGCATAGAAGGAAAAGTTATGAATTATCTCACTTTTTAAAAAAAAATTATCTTGAACATGGTTTCGCTATTCTTGCTTAAATTACTCTCATAGATACCAGCACTTACCTATTAATATTTTTAGATGTTTAGATTATATACTTCTACAAACTAAGTGTGCAGTTTAGTTAATTCTGATAGTTATCGTTTTTTTATTAGTCGTAGGCATATAAATCTTGATAAAAAATAAGAAAAAAAAACATAAAATTCAAAACAAACAAATACTAAATGTATTAAACAAACATGTCACAAAAGGGTAATGAAGTTGAAATAACGAGGAGCTCAAAAAAAAACCTTCAGTATGTGTGTCTGGAATGCTTACATGTATCGTGTTGACGGGCGAGAATAAACATGTCTTATTGCTTCACAATTAAAAAGAGAAAAAGACTTTCAAATCTAGTGCTACCTGTGATTAACGTCAGGGGGCGGTAATTCAGTATCTTGCCGTCTCTTATTATCCTCAGCGGGCGGTAATCCAACAGTATATAGAAATATATTCTGCAAAATGGCTATCACTTTTGGCTTACCCTAATTGCATTGAATATTGCTAAAATGGCTTTATACCCATATGACCGAGCTGCAACAGGATATTAATTATTAGTATTATATTTGTATTATAAGCATTATTATTAATATTATTATTATAAGTATTATTATTTTGATATCTTCTTCTTCTTCTTCTTCTTCTTCTTCTTCTTCTTCATTCTCCCCACTTATTAATATGTCTTCTTTTTTACCAGTATTATTATTATTATTGTCATTTCTTCTTCTTCTTCTTCTTCTTCTTCTTCCTCCTCCTCCTCCTCCTCCTCTTCCTCTTCCTCCTCGTTGTTGTTGTTGTTGTTGTTGTTCTTCTTCTTCTTCTTCTTCTTCTTCTTCTTCTTCTTCTTCATTCATCCCACTTATTAATATTTCTTCTTTTTTACCAGTATTATTAATATTTTTGTTATTTCTTCCTTTTTTCTTCTCCTACGTCATTCACATCTGTTCTTCTTCTTCTTCTTCTTCTTCTTCTTCTTCTTCTTCTTCTTCTTCTTCTTCTTCTTCTTGTCCTTTCTGAACGTGAGCGAAATTGTCTCACCACAACTCCCTATCTTTTGTAGCCCTTATTTCCAAATTCTTGTTTTTCCAACCATTTACACAAGATCATTATGTTGGTGCTTCCCTCTGTCCCTCTTCCCTTCAATATGTCTTGTGTCATCATTTTCAGGCACCCTTTCCTTATTCCTTATATGCAATAGACATTTCAACAATTTCCTACTGATGCTACGTATAAGTGTCCTTTTTATTTACATCATTCGGACTGTTGTTTTTTTCTTTATTGCCATATTCACGACATTTTGGCCGTTGTACGCTCTCGCCTTCTTCAGGTATACGTTAAAATTTAAGTAAGAGCTACAGAAATTGCGGTTTGTGAAAGAGAGTAATCAATCTTTAGTGAGAAGTGAGTGAAGGCCATTAAAAGAACAGGGTTCAGGAAGACAGACGATGGTGAGTGACGTTGCATTCACATTTTTGAAAATTGTAGTTTACAGGGAAACAAGAAATCGGATGGGATCTCCACAGGCGAGAAGGGCGATAAAAGAAATTATTAGAATAGAACGGACGGTATTATCTAATTAGTTCAACAGTAAAACGATTGAGTAAAATATTTTTTCTATCTATCTATCTATCTATCTATCTATCTATCTATCTATCTATCTATCTATCTATCATAGTTTTGTGATGCCACCGAACACTCGTTGCCACTTTATTAATGTCAACGAATATTTGTTGTCACTTTCGTAATACTCGTTGTAGTAGAGACTTTGTAATCGCAGATACAACTGTAGTGACGCCGTTGAACATTACTGGTGACAGACGCCTTCGAATACACTCGCACTAATAGTACTTGCTCGATAATACCCGCTCGACAAATAACCACCGAATATTAATCCGTATAGTGATCAGTATAGAGAATATTATTGTGAATTATATAGAGATAGAGGATAGTGTAGAAATAGTGATCCGTATAGTGATCAGTATAGAGAATAGTATTGTGAATTATATAGAGATAGAGGATAGTGTAGAAATAGTGATCCGTATAGTGATCAGTATAGAGAATAGTATTGTGAATTATATAGAGATAGAGGATAGTGTAGAAATAGTGATCCCGTATAGTGATCAGTATAGAGAATAGTATTGTGAATTATATAGAGATAGAGGATAGTGTAGAAATAGTGATCCGTATAGTGATCAGTATAGAGAATAGTATTGTGAATTATATAGAGATAGAGGATAGTGTAGAAATAGTGATCCGTATAGTGATCAGTATAGAGAATAGTATTGTGAATTATATAGAGATAGAGGATAGTGTAGAAATAGTGATCCGTATAGTAATAGAGCATAGAGAAGAAACAGTGATCAGTTAGACGCCACGCTAATTCCCATATATATTTTTCATTTGCTACTACATGATCTACTTATTCAAATGGGATCGCCTGTGTTTGCCCTCTGGCGATCTATGTTCAAACTACAGTGTCAGCAGCGACACTTTACTCTTTACAACACGTACTTTGTACATATCTAGCTTTATATCTATCTTTCCCAGTCTATTCATATCTGTATGAGTTTATTTATATATTCTATCAGTTTATCTTTTTATTTTAGTATATTCATATCTGTCAGTGTTTACTATTCTCCTACTATCATCATATATATATATATATATATATATATATATATATATATATATATATATATATATATAACTGTAGGCTTACAAACAATGACATCATAAAATATTTACAGAATTGTATCCTCGTTCACATAAAATCGGATATCTTTTTTATTATTATTTTTTTACATTATTCGGACTAATGTCCTAATCTTTGTTGCCATATTTATCCCTACGTTTCGTCCTTAAGGACACATGGCACAGCGGACAAACGCTTTGGTTAGATCCAGTGACAGGACGCAGAGTTGTGTGTTCAATACCTGTTTAACGCAGTGGAGAACTTGGAGAGGTGAATTAACAGGAGATAACTGATAACTGACATCCATTAGACATAGCACGTGGAACTAGAACAGTCTACCCCAGCGAGCGAAATAAAGGGTTCAGTTCGATATTCCAACCATCTGAAGGAAGCCGGAGCGTACAACGACCGAAACGTAGTGATAAATATGGCAACAAAGATGAAGACAATAGTCTGAATAGTGTAAATAGTGTATTTTTATCTGTGTTGTGAAACGACACATTTTATTTTTAAATTTGAACAATAAGCTAACGTAACAATAAGAGTCTAAAATGTACAGATTTGATTGTATATATAGTTGACTATTTTAATAATTAACATTAAATGAAATAAACAAAAAAATGCATGAAATAGAAAAAGAAAAAGAGTAGCAATCTCCTTTAAATCCGACACCATTTTCTCAGCAAAAAGAACTTCAAGGATTGTGGATATGAAGAATAAACTAAACAATTTACATAAAGAAGAAATATTTTAAAGAAATAGTTTATTTCCTAAAAAAAAAAAAAATAGAAATAAATAAAAATAGAAAAACATATTTTATATGCAAAATATAAAATCGGATTATTGTTGATCGGCTCTGTTTGTTTTTTGTTGAATTGTCTCCCTAGACGGAAACTACGGATTAAAAAAAAAAAAACCGGTCACATGAATAGTGGGTTAAAATCTCGTTTTCTTCACCCGACATCTGAAGCATATTATAAGCAAAATAGATAGAAAGCCTCGCTTCAGTCACCAGAGAATTTGTTTATGATTAAAATAGAAATAGAATTTATAATGATAACGGTCATTGTCAGGTTTATATCGTATCCAAGTGTTCTCATTTTCGTTGTTACGCTTCGACAATTATGCCCTCCAGCCTTCATCAGGAGTTTATCGATCCGGTAAACTACAGAGAATTCTGAACTGAACTCTTTATTTAATCTCTGAGGATAGATCGTTCTCGTTCCAGTGCCCGTCTCTAGGGATGACAACAACAAAGATGAGGAAAATAATCCGCAGATAAGTAGTGTATTGACCATTTTAATAATTAAAATTAAAGGAAATAAACAAAAAATGCTTGAAAAAGAAAGAGAAAAAGAGTAGCAATCTCCTTTAAATCCGACACCATTTTCTCAGCAAAAAGAACTTCAAGGATTGTGGATATGAAGAATAAACTAAACAATTTACATAAAGAAGAAATATTTTAAAGAAATAGTTTATTTCCTAAAAAAAAAAAAATAGAAATAAATAAAAAGAAAAAAAAATTTATATGCAAAATATAAAATCGGATTATTGTTGATCGGCTCTGTTTGTTTTTTGTTGAATTGTCTCCCTAGACGGAAACTACGGATTTAAAAAAAAAAAAAAATCCGGTCACATGAGTAGTGGGTTAAAATCTCGTTTTCTTCACCCGACATCTGATGCATATTATAAGCAAAATAGATAGAAAGCCTCGCTTCAGTAACCCGAGAATTTGTTTATGATTAAAATAGAAATAGAATTACTAAAAAAATAAATAAATAAAACATTCAATATAATTTTTTGTCATAACTGGGGATAATAGTGGAGACAAGCTCCCACTATATATAACTTGCTTCCGTGGTTTGGGGTCTGAAACCATCAACTAACAACTGTCCGGCTCTAAAAGGGGGAGATTGGATGAAGGCGGAAATCTGGCGATTCATAACCAGATGCTTCGAATCGATGGAGCTCGGCCTTCTAGGTTGAAGGAAAACCTTCATTTTAAACTTCCGCTGGCTTGCGGCCATATCCAAATATGGAAAAGGCTATAGAAGTCAATCCAGGTAGAAAACCTGGAGTGAAGACGCGAAGGAGGTTGGTTGTCATTACTGAAAACTTTCAAGCAAATTGTACAGTCATGCGGTCTCCAAATGTAATATTCCGTCATCCTTTAGATCCTGAAGGAAAGGCCGGGAGTGGTGTAGGGGCCTGTATTCTGGTCAGTGAACGGTCTCCATATACCGTGGCCCAGGGTTGCACCCTGAAAAGGTCACTCAAGTTTCGCCATTAAAAGACTGGATTTTGACCAAACCAAAATTATTACAGTTATAGATTACATAATATTTTGTGAAGTGATCATTTACTATAAATTCTACTTAATGTTTCATATTTGGTTTTTCATAATTTGGAATATAATAAATTTCACTAAATATAATCCAGAAAAAAAGTACGATAAAATAGGATCGACTGTATGGTCAATAATTAATATCCTGTTGCACCTTGGTCATGTGGGTATAAAATCAGTTATCAATATTCAATGCAATTAGGGTAAGCCATAAGTGATAGCCATTTTGCAGAATATATTTCTATATACTCTTGGATTACCGCCCACTGAGGATAATAAGAGGCGGCAAGATACTGAATTACCGCCCCCTGACGTTAATCACAGGTAGCACTAGATTTGAAAGTCTTTTTCTCTTTTTAATTGTGAAGCAATAAGACACGTTTATTCTCGCCCCGATAGACACGATGCATGTAAAAGAAGAAATATTAATAAGTGGGATGAATGAATGAATGAAGAAGAAGAAGAAGAAGAAGAAGAAGAAGAAGAAGAAGAAGAAGAAGTAACAAAAATATTAATAATAGTGGTAAAAAGGAATATTAATAAGTAGGGTGAAAGAAGAAGAAGAAGAAGAAGAAGAAGAAGAAGAAGAAGAAGAAGAAGAAGATGGTTTATTTTACATGGTTGGATTATTTAAAGAATTTTGTCCAAGGCATCCAGGGAGAATGAAACTAATTTCTTATTAGCAATGGCCAAGCAGATTAGATTCGCCATCGATTAACTCACGCTGAAGCATTGTATATACGTACGGTTTACATAAAAGGGATATGTTTACATATATCTACTCATTTACATAACCGTGTATGCGATGTTCATATAAGTTTCCGATATATGTGTGTGCGTCTGCGCGTGCGTCTGCGCATGTCGGTTTTATAATACAAAATATGACAATTTAATCCACGCAATGGCCTTGTAATAGCAAAATGTTGAATTATTTGTTTGCCAATGCATGCTCTACTGCTTTGCTTCTCTGTCATAACGAAAATACGACGTTTAATCAGTGGTGATAAACTGCTCAAACAGCATATTTATTAAAAAATCAGAATAATATGAAGCCGAGTATTTACACTATTTACATTGTTCGGAATGTTGTCCTCATCTTCAATGCCATATTCACGACGTTTAGGCCGTTGTACGCTCCGGGTTTCATCCGATGATATTAGTTGGAATTCGAACCGAACCCTTTATTTAAGTGAGAGATTTGCAGTTATTATGGTGGGAATCAAAATTCTTAAACTGTTTAAATAGCGCTAACAGAAATTTTACCAGTTTTCACACAAGACATAATGTTATTCATCTGCTTCAAATCCCATTCACACATTTTCCATCACATGATATATAACATGAACACGTGAATCTTCCTCTACTGCTCGGCAATGAATCATTCACCTGGTCTGTGTTTCATGTAAGCTGAAGTGTTTCATGAAGTTAGAGTGGTCAGGTAAAAATGTTTGTCTGAGTAATTACACCAGTCATTATGTGATTTAAATTATCACACCTAGGGTATATCATCATTATTGTTGTTGTTTTTGTTGGTGTTATTATTATTATTATTATTAGTTTCTTTGATTTCTGTTGTATATACTGTTTCCTTTCGGTTCTCAAATAGAGACTTCAGGTCAGAAATGTTTACATGACATTTTCTATTCATCATTTTTATAAAATGTATAAATAAAATCTGAGCTCACACACATTTTACATAGATAACGTTCTTCGTAAGATATGAGTTGTACTTATTATCATTATCATTATTATTATCATATGATATGTCTATAATACATATCATATGTATGCATGTATCGGTGGGCTGTATATTTATAATGATGTCCATATAAATTATATCTACAGAGTGGTCCGAAAGTCTTGTCACCGTCTACTAAAAAGTAATGAGAACAGTAGAACAAGTTATACAGTAATACAAATCACATGTACTGGATTCCGTTTATTCACTTTCACTGACGCTGTCACACATCGAGAATGTTTTATGAACACAATCATTTTCGTGTTAGCCGTCTGAAATAGAATATTATATTATGTAGGAGTGACAAAACTTTCGGACCACCCTCTATAGTGATACTGATGATGATCCATACATTAACGAGTAGCAATATATCGATATCATCTCTTTGCGGCGTCTGCATTTAGGTGTGTTTGAACCGACGTGTGAACTATAAATGCCTATAAGTGTAAAAAAAAATATGATGTTATGAAGATGGTACGTGTGCGTTTAAAAGTCGACCAAATAATGGACGACTGACGAATACTGCCAGATCTTTTGTTATCCACCACACCTGCGTGCCTGAAACTTATCAGGAGAAAAAGTAAATATACTTCGTTCATCCGTTGTCTTTATTTATTTATTTCCTCCCCTCTCTAGGCTCATTTCTTCCTTATTTTCTTTCTATTTGAATGATACTTTCCTCATCTTCTTTCTTTTTTTTTTACCTTTCGATTTTCTGTCTTTCGTTCGTTCTTTCTTTCTTTCTTTTTATTAATATGTTTCCTTTCTTTTTCTTGCCCCGTCCATTTCTCTTTTTTTTTCTTTTTACCTTTCGATTTCCTGTCATTCTTTCTTTCTTTCTTTCTTTCTTTCTTTCTTTCTTTCTTTCTATTAATATGTTTTCTTTCTTTTTGTCGCCCTGTCCGTTTTTCATTCTTTTTTTTCTTTTTACCTTTCGAATTCCTGTCTTTCTTTCTTTCTTTCTTTCTTTCTTTCTTTCCTTCTTACTTTCTTTCTTTCTATTAATATGTTTCCTTTCTTTTTGTCGGCCCTCCGTTTCTCTTTCTTTTTTTTTCCTTTTTCGAACATTCAACTTCTCTTTGTTTCTTTCTTTCTGTCTAGCATTCAAATATCTTTCTTTCTTTCTTTCTTTCTTTCTTTCTTTCTTTCTTTCTTTCATTCATTCTTTCTCCCAGCTTTCTTTCTTTCTAGTGTGAATTTTTGTTCTTTTATTATTTCTCCTTCCTCATTTTTGTGTTTCATTTATTTATTCTTTCTTTCTTTTTGCTTTCTTTCTTTCTTTCTTTCTTTCTTTCTTTCTTTCTTTCTTTCTTTCTTTCTACTGTCACTTTTTCGTTCTTTCATTGTTTCTCCTTTCTCTTTTTTTCTATTTTATTTATTACTTCTTTCTTTCTTTCTTTCTTTCTTTCTTTCTTTCTTTCTTTCCACGGTCACTTTTTCCTCCTTTCATTTTTCTCTTTTGTTTATTCTTTCTTTCTTTTCTTTAGTTCTTTGTCCCTATTTAAATATCATTTTTCTCGTTTAATGCATCAGTCTGTGTGCCCCACTTTGCTCCAAAGCAAATTATATGTTGTTTTATTTTTGGTTGTTTTTTTTTTTTTTTGCTTCACTCGAACGTCGTTTTACATTTACTCATTTTAAAGCGGAAATACGGAAGTAAATAGTCTCCTACTTCTTCTTAGCATTTTCTTTTTCTTTTATTTTCCTTTCGTCCTGAAGTCAAAATTTTACCCTTTGCATCTTCCATACTTTTCGTTGTTCGTTTTTTTTATTTTTATTTTTTTTTTTTTTTGCTGAATTCATATTTGCTTACTTTTGTACGTTTTTCATCCCCTTATATCATTTTTTTCTTTGTTTGATTTTTTACTCTATTCATTTAGACTTGCTTCTTCATGTATTTTCTTCATTTTTATTGACTGTTTACTTTCGCTAGAAGACAGAGCAGATGGTTACAAAAATGGCTGAGATATTTTTTAGATGGGTTTCTTACTTTTTCTTCACAGTTCCCTTAAATAATATGCTTTTTTTAAGCTTGCATTTTATTCCTTTCACTGGTAGGTTATTATAAAGATCCTTGTTTGCTTTTATTCGGAAAACCACGTCAATCTACTGAATATTTCGTCTTTTTATTAACTTCTATGGTTCTTTTATATTTTCCCCCCAAAAAATTGAAATCTAATGTTAGTTTTTACGACATTTTGGAAAATCAAAAGCTATTTTATATAATTTCCTACGGACCATCTAAAATGGCCAAGAAATGATAAAACATGATAAACTGAATAATCGACGCTGAAGGTATTTTATGGCAAATCGGGTTACAAGATTTACTTATGCTCTGTAGAAGTTCTACTTACTTAAATTATATTATCATAGGTAGGATTTATTTAACTGATGTCTAAACTTTCATTCTTCTCATTACAGCTATACTGACATAGTAAATCATAATTCAAGAATCATTTGGATTCTACATGTAACGTATGTAAGAAAAATAGAAAAAAACATATTTCTATTATTGTTTAAAGATTCATTGTAAAAATACAAAATTAATGGTTGTCAGCAAAAGTGGCATTCAATGAGTACATTACATATTGGGAATGTCAAAATCAAGAATTTCGAAAAATATAATTTTTTCAAGGTGAGAAATAAACGGAAAAAATTAAATAAATAAGAGACATTAGAAAGAACTGAAGAAAAATGAAAGAATTAGAGAAAATAAAAGGACGTTTAAAAAAGGAATAAAATAGAAGAAACTAAAGTGAATAGGAGAAAAAGGAAAAAAATAGAATTAAAGGAAACGAACTCAAGAGAAAAGGCGAAAAAGAATGAAACGACGAAAAGAAACGAAAAGAAACTAGAAATAAAGAAGGAATGATTAGAAATGTTAAATAATAGTTTAGCAGACTATTATTCTTTTTTTAGAGAAGTATATTTTTGCTCTGACTTCCTCAGTTTGATCTTTAAGGTCAAATATAATACAAAACAATGGAAGTCGATTTTTGATTGGCTAAAACAATGTTGGAATGATAGATAGATAGATAGATAGATAGAGAAAGGTTTTTTGGTGAGTTGTTTTCTAGACATCCAGCAATGTAGACATGTTTCCTTTTCGTGTCTGGAAACTGCTCCTCAGTGGAGTGGGGGGGGTGAAACAATCGCCCTGGATATTTAGAAAAGTACACGTCAACATGTTTAATAAAATAGTAAGTTTAAAATATCCTTTGTTGATGTCTTTCATCTCTGGGCCCAAAAACATTTCGCCGGGAGAAGACGGGAGGAACAAAATACAATATATTATCGAGTGACCCTGTTACCAAGAGCTCCCCAGAACGAGGAGGCTATTCAACAGAAACAGAGAAATAAATTATAGAGAGTAGAATAAAAAGAAAATAGTTATTTATAGCACGTATCCGTTTATCTCGCGAGTCAATGATAGCATCCTGTTCCATCAAAAGTCCTTTGGTGTTGATTTCTATTTGTAGGCTGTGTGCAACCAAGACCCCATAGCCCCTTATCTAGGCGTACGACAAAAGAATACAAAAATCACTTTTGGGAACGGCTTGGCTGGAGGAGTTGCCGAAAGGGTGACAGTGTTTACAACCAACCTCATTTGGGGCTTTAATTTTCTGTCTGGATTTACTTCCATGGCCTTTTCTGTATTTGAATAGGAAAACATGGAAGCGGAGTTTTCGTTGTCCTAAATGGACTACCCTCTGGGAATGATCCTCACCATCTATCCGAAGTCGCTGTCTATGTGCATGTGGACAACCTTCGCCACTTTTCAATCTCTGGGCTTGACATATTTGAGTCATTTTATAGACAGTGGATTCCTAAGAATATAAGAGAACTAACAGGACAAAAGACATGCTCATCTTCAGGATGCTTAAAATTCAAAGACAAGGCACTGATATTCGGGTAAGAAGAAATATTTCAGAGATGATACGAATAGATAAGAGATCTCTTCGACGACGAACGAGAAAAAACAAAAATACACAGAAATAACGATGGGCCATATTAAATATTGAAATCTGAAGTGGAATCAGCAAATGGTTAAACCGAACAGAAACAAAACAGCAAAGTAAGTCTGAATTATAATAGAGATTCTAGCAGGGTGCAGGAAAACTCAACAACACCGACTGTGCGCCAGGACAACTCAAGACCGAGACAACCCAGCACCAAAAAAAACAAAACTTTTATAACCGAATAAAAATAATTTATTAAGGAGTAAAACTTTAATTAGTTAATATTTTTCTTCAAATAAGGCATTTGAAAAGGCATTATGTAAAATATAAACCAGTTTTTTTGTTTTTTTAATTATTTTAAATAAAGTAAATTGGAAATAAATTTATTTTTAATACAATAAAATGACATATAAAAATAATTCAGGAGAACACACTTGTTTCTAATTATTTTTTCATGAAGTAAATCGAAAATTGTAAAATGAAGCAGTTTCTGGTTTTTAATTATTTTTTTTAAAAAAGTAAATTTTAATGTAATTAATTTTTAATAAAGTAAATCGACTTTTTAAAATATTTTTTTATAAACAATAATTTAATAATTTACGAATTACTTTATAAAAATAATTAAGAACTAAAAATTGTTCATTATTTTGCATAATGCCTTTTCACATGTCTTATTTCTTTCTTTCTTTCTTTCTTTCTTTCTTTCTACCTTTCAACGTTCTTTCTGTTATGGAGTGTGATTTTTTTTCTCTTCAAACCGTATGAATCCGAATACCTCGTCGCCAAATAATTGTTATGTAGTGTGGTTTCACAGTGGAGGCTTGTATTTGTACTAAGTCGGTCCTAAAATAGGTTCGACGTACAAAACTTTAAGAACTTGATATAATAGGTAATGACGCAGAGAAATCTAGTTGTGGTCGCTGATACTTTAGTATCCGACTAACGGTCGTCCAGCATCGACTGACTGACCGACCCCTCTGAGTGACTCCTACTACTCCTACTTATTATAGGTGGGAGAGTCTATTAACAATAGAATAGGTGGGTTCCACTATAACACTTTCTTTCTTTCCTTCTTTCTACCTTTCAACGTTCTTTCTTTCTTTCCTTCTTTTTACCTTTCAACGTTCTTTCTTTCTTATTTAATAATTCAAGTTTTACTCCTTAATAAATTACTTTTATTCTTATATATATATATATATATATATATATATATAAAACTGTTATCTTTTTCTGGTTTGAATTATCTCTGTCCTTAGTTGTCCCGGTGCTCAGTCAGTGATGTTCCGTCTGTGGTTGTGAGTTGGCGGTGCTGAGTTGTCCCTTCCCGATGCTATCAGCCTTTGACCATTTCACCATTGACAAAATTGCAGGTATAATAAATGAAATATACAACAGCGGTGATATACCGGAAGACCTACGTAGATCTATATACATAGCACTGCCTAAGAAGCCAGGTGAAAACGAATGTGTTTTCATCCGCATTCTGATGAATAGAGCGCACAGAATACAACCGGAAATAAAACCAAAAATCTGCAGGTTCCTTAAAGACACGAGAATAAGGAATACGATATTTATACTCAGAATAAGTGATATGAGAATGAGCAGTACGAATGAAAAATGGATATATACCTATGTTTTATAGATTATGCAAAAGCGTTTAATAAAGTACGCCGCAAAGAACCGCTTAAACTGCGGGAAGGATATTAGAATAATCCAGAACCTATTTTGACAGCAACCCACCAGCTTACAGTCAAGAAATTAGTAAATATACAAAAATAAGAATCTTTGTAAGACAAGGATGCGTCTTCTCACCAGACATTTTCAATCTGTGAGAATTAGAAGTCCTACTAGAATTTATTATTGGCGGCTTCAAACTTAATAACGTAAGATATCTAGGTGATAGAATGTTTATATCAGACGCCGAAAATAAACTACAAGATCCCCTAAAGAAGATAGTGAAAAAAAGCGAGAAGAAAGGACTAAATATCTGTTATAAGAGGACTGTTAACAAAAGGGACAGCCCGACCTGCAAATTACAGATTGGAGATACTGAAATCAAAAAGGTGCAACAATTTAGAAGAAGACCGGTGCATACAACAGCCGAAACGTCGTGAATGTGATAATAAAGACGAGAACAATAGTCCGGACAATGTAAAGAGTGTAAACAGTTAAAATACTTCATTTCATAGATATAGAGGGTGGTCCGAAAATCTTGTCACCCCTACATAATATAATATTTCAGATAGCTGACACAAAAATTATAGCGTCCATAAAGACCTTCTCGATGTGTGACAGCGTCAATGACAGTGAATAAAATGAATCCAGTACGTGTGCTTTGTATTACTGTATTACTTGTTCTATAGTTCTCATTACTTTTTAATAGCGGGTGACAAGACTTTCGGACCATCTTTCGGACAGCTGCAATCGACACGTTCAGAATTGGAACTCCGATAGTCGAGTTCATATTTGTGCCAATAACTATTTTAGTTCTTTTAACCCGTTTAATTTGGTGGTGTGGGGGAGATTTTCAAAAATATGTTCATTTTGTTAACGTTCTAGAAAGAAAAGAAAAAAAAGAGTCTCCGTTGATGACAAAATGATTTTACCAAGCCTGGACGGTTCAAAAATATTTGAGAGCTAATGAAGAAATGTTCATTCAATAATGGATTTTCTCTTCACCCTGAAAACAACCTTTCAAACGTGGATAAGCGTGGAACGTTCATTTCTTCTGTTATATTTCTTTTCTTTAACACGTTTCTATTGTTCTGCTTGTCTGCTTGCAAAAGAAAAAAAATGCCTAAACCTTTACGTCTAAATTAATCAGACTTCCTTCACGATCGTCACGCTTGGACACGGTTTTGATAAATTCGCGCCACTCCGTTACAATATGAATTTGCCAAGCAAAATATACCATTTTATTTGGTATTGCTGGAGGAACTGCTTCTTTATTCTGTTTCATTTTACCAGCTATTTTACGTGTTCGCTTCTCCTCTCGAATATTGTTCATTTTACATCCTCCCTTCATTGTAACATGTCTCGGAGATACTTACTCAATTACCAGGGATCAGTGTTCAATTCCATGCAAAATCTAGTATACAGACAGATAATTTAGAAAGGAAGCAGACCTGCAATGACACAACATGCGCAAACCAATCTTCCGTTTCTTCATTTCCGGTCATAGTTTGCCATGTTCTGGAATAAACTATGTAGAATAGATATATCTTGTTTTCATTTCTATATTACTTATTTATTTTATATCGTCGTACCTTCTACATTTTTCTTTATTTTAATTTTCGTTTCTCTAGTTTCAATACCTGTCTTTATTTTCTCACATTTTACCCAGTTCTTTTTTCCATTGATTCAATTGCTCTTTTTATTATTTTCTCTCCTCTTCTATTCGCCCTTTCTTTAACTTAAATTCTATTCCTTCTTTTTCTTCTATTCTGTCTAATTTCTTTCTTTTTATTCTCTCTAGTTCATTCCCTTTTATTTTATTCGTTCCGTTGCTTTTATTACCTACTCTCATTTATTCTTTTTTCTCTAGTACCTTTCCTTTTATTCTTTCTTTTCCTTTTATTTACTCCACTTCCTTTCATTTTATTCGCTTATTTCTTTACTTTTATTTTCTCTATCTCCTCTTCTTTTATTCTATTCCCGCCTTCTCTCTAGTTCCATTCCCTTTATTCTCGTCTTTCCCTTTCTTTTATTACCTCTACTCCTTTTCCTTTCATTCTATTCCTTTCTTTACTTTTATTCTCTTAGTTACATCTGTTTTAATTCTATTCTTTCCTTTTCTGTTTTATCCCTCTAGTTCCTTTTACTCTATTCTTTCCTTTCCTTTTATTCCCTCTAGTTCCTTGGAGGCACGGTGGAGTAATGGATAGCGGCTTGGCTTGAGGAATCGGAGAGCTGAGTTCGAATTCCAGTCGAATCCATTATATTCACTTACGTGCTAATACTCTTTAGAAAGGTGTGAATTCTCTTCTTCTCCCTCCAGCTATGGGTAAATAGCTGGACAGACTAGGTTCTATAGCCTTGGATGGCAACTGGTCTAGAAGAAGGAAAACTCTGAATTCAAAACCTGCGGAGGGTCGTTTGGGGACCTTGTGACACGTAGTGCACCAGGTCTCTGTAATCAACCCTTCAAAAAGTGTGGATGGTCCTGCTCGAAACCTTCACCACTATAATCAAATTTCATGTGCTATACATGCGGGTTGGGGACCGCTTGTGAATTCCAAATTCCCATGAAACTCCAATATTGGAGCCGGCTCAACCCACCTCGGGTGAATGCCGTTCCTTCTCTTCTTTAATTCCCTCTCGTTCCTTTCCTTTTATACTATTCTTTCCCTTTCTTTTATTCTTTTTAGATCCTTTCCTTTTATTCTATTCTTTTCTTTCAATTTAATCCTTCTAGTTCCTTCCTTTTCATTATATTCTATCCTTTCCTATTATTTTCTCAATTGCAAGTGTTTTTATTCTATTCTTTCTTGTCTTCTATTCTTTCCTTTCTCGTTATTCTCCCTAGTTCCTTTCAATTCATTCTATTCTTTTCTTTTATTCCCTCTAGTTCCTTTCATTTTATTCTATTTTTTTCCTTTACTTTTATTCCGTCTAGTGCCTTTCTTTTGTGTGCATTCCTTTTATTCTCTTATTGCCAGTGTTTTTTTTTTTTTTTCTCATCTTTCCTTTTCTTTTATTCCCTCATCATCTTATACTTGTATTCTATTCTTTCCTTTCCGGTTCTTCTCTCTAATTCCTTTCATTTATTCTATTCTTTCCCTTTCCTTTTATTCACACTAGTTCCTTTCCTTTTATTCTATTTTACTTTTACTTTATTCCCTCTGGTTCCTTTCCTTTGATTCTTTTATTCTTTTTTCTCCTCGTGTGTTTTTATTTTTATTCCCCATTCTCGTTCCTTTCTTTTTTATTTATTCTTTTCCCTCCTTTTTTATTCTATCATTTTT